TCAACAGTGTGTGTGTGTGGAGGGCAACATTTAAATTATCAGAAAAGGACTTCCACTTTATCACTTAAGTTAAGCACATTAACTTTAACCTTGCTTTTGGGGAGGCAGATTCTCACAAAAATGCAGAGCAGGAAAAAAAAAACCTCAGTAGATGCACAATGATTCACACATGTGATTTTAATGTGGCAGAGACTGAGGTTCTCCATATCAACTCAGCTGCAGTGTGTAGGGAAATAAATTCTTGCTTTTGAAATTTCTTTTGATTTTTTTAACTTATTGTTTTTTCTTGACTAAGCTTAGTCAAAACCATGTGTAAAAACAAACAAAAAAAAATGTGTAACAGATCCAGAAATAAGGCGGGCTTACAGTATTGCTTTTGCTAAACTGACCTACTAATATTCATCAGTACACTTATTAGATTTCCTATGTATAAGAAAATAAGCTTTCCATTCTATTCTTAGCCTTCAATCTTTTCCTTGCTTCCTGGCACGAGCTAGTAACGCCAATGCAATATGGGCTGTCTCTGGTCTTGGGGGAAGCTTTAAATGTGTTACTGTTGAGTAGACTGCTTGCTCTACACTATGTTGAGGATACTCTTTCTCAGAACAAAATGAGTTCCCTTTCTCCTTGTCTGCTAGTGGACTTTAAACACGAACGGGCACTGAGAGTCATCAAGTGCTTTACCAGAGCCCTTCATTACATTAATGCTGTAAATGATACCCATTGATTTCTGAATTTATGCAAACATTTTATTTCTGGAATAAATCAACTACATCATTACATATCGCATTTTCATTTATTGCAGGGGTTATAAGAGTAAGGTTAAGGGCATCTCACTGTATTCACATTTATTTTAAATGCTTCAAGTGTCTATCCACGATAGTTTACTTATTGTTAAATACTTTATTATGACTTTCTCCTGTAATCTGTGTATACATGTTTTTAATGTTAAACTATCTTTCTGGTCCCACGATAAACCCTGCTTGGTTGGAGTACATTATGATTTTTAACATTACTAGATTTGGCACAGTAACAATTTACTTAGGATTTTGTGAACTGAAATGCAAGAGGGACAAACTTCTAACTTTCTTGAGTTGCTCTCCCATTGCCTGGCTTGTCAGTTTTGTATCAATGGAACATTCCCTCTGTTTTCTTTTCTCTGGAAAGGTTTGTACACACTGTAACAATTAAATTTATTGGTAACATTGTTTAGGACTGGTGTCAGGAGATTTTTTTGAAAACTATTTTCTCTTTAATTGTTTTAGGATTGATAAAACTATTTCTTCTGAGTTCCGTTTAATGGCTGGCTTACACTTGAAAATTTTTCTATTATGCAGATCTTAAAAGTTACTGACTATAAAGCACTGGTATTCTCTTACAGTGGAACCAGAGCTTGGTTCCATTTCTTACTTAGAATGTTTATTTGTGCCTTTTCCCCCTAAAATATACTTTCAAACTGTGTTATTTTGTTAAGTCTTTTCAAAAGGCAGGCTGGCTGCCTATTTTATCCTTACAAAATAATTTTTAAGAGACAGGATATCTTGCTATGTTGCCCAGGCTGGCCTTGAACTCCTGAGCTCAAAGCAATCCTCCTGCTTCAGCTCCCAAGCTACTGGGACTACAGGTGCCCTATTTTACTTCATTTATCATATCACTGATCTGGGCTTATTTTTAAGATCCCTTTCCTTCTGTGACTTTGCCTTTGTTCCATGGTTGATGAGGTAACCGTTGAGATTATTAATTTTTCATTAATCCTTGAGAGATTAGCTATTAATCTCCCTTTTTTTCTATTGAAAAACAAAGGAAAGTTCCTATAAGACCCTGTTTTGAACAATCCACAGTTTCTGACAGCAAGTGATTCTATCATTTAATCTGAGGATTTGAAATTTTTGACTCTTTATGGTTTCATATGTCACTCAAAAGTATATTACTAACTTCTGTCTATTCTTTTCTATTATAAGCACATATTAAACAGGTATCCCTGTTATAAGTGCATAGGAATTCCACTTAGAATTCATTGAGACCAATCTTCTAAACTATTGTGGATAGACACTTGAAGCATTTAAAATAAATGTGAATACAGTGAGATGCCCTTAACCTTACAATCTTGTTCTGCACACATCTGATGAGAACATGGCTGGAATATGAAACATCTCCCACGGGCTCATGCGTTGTACACTCAATTCCCAGCTGGTGGAGCTATTTTGGGAGGTTCTGAAAACTTTAATAGGTAGGGCCTAGTTGGAGGAAGGAGGTCATCATGGGTATATCCTGGAAGGTTATACCAGGTATAACCTGACCTCTCTGTCTCTCAGTCAGTCTCTCTCTAGGTCTCTTTCTCCCTCTCCCTCTATTTGCTTTCTGTGGCTCCTCTGCCACACGCTTTCTCCACCATGATGCTCTGACCAAGCCCATGATCAGGCGATCATGGACGGAATCCCCTAGAAAATCAGAAAGTAAAATAAATCTTTCCTTCTTTAAGTTGTTTTTGCCAGGTATTTTGGTCACAGGTATACAAAAGAAACGAACACAGAAAATTGGTACCAGAGAACTGGAGTGTTGCTGTGGCTAAAACTGATCACGTGGATATTAAGCCTTTGGAACTGGTTTATGGGAGCAATCTGGAAGAGTTTGGAAAAAGCAGCCTAGAAAGTCTTAAAATCCTATGAGCAGAGGTTGATGGGTGACTCTGGTGGGATTTCAGGAGACCAGAATGCCAACAGGAATCCAGGCAATAAAGACTGTGCTCATGGAATTTCAGATGGGAAGGAGTACTGTATCAGGAGTTAGACTGTGGCCATGCATGTTACATTTGGGCAAAGAATCTCTGCATTTTGTCTGTTCCTGAGGCTTCCAGGTTGGATCTAAAATTAATGGGCTGATTAATTTGGAGGAGCAAGCTTCAAGATGGCAGAGCATTCAGGCTGTGGCCTGGTTTTGCTAGATGCTTTCAGTCAGGTTTACAGTACAACAGGGGGCCAAAAGCATAACAGAAGAACTTGAAAACTTGCCGTTTGGTCAGAAAAGCCAGTGTAAAGTTGGGGCTGAGGAAAAAAGGTATTAACACCATTAAAAAGAAACCAAAGGCCAGGCTGGTAGCTCACGCTTGTAGTCCTAGTTACTCTGAAGTTGAAGATCGGGAGCATCATGGTTAGAAGTTAACCTGGGGGGAAAAAGTTGGGGAGGTCCTACCTCAATCAATAAGCCTGTAATCCCTGCTACATGGGTGGCCATAGGTAGCAGAATCACAGTCTGAGGCTGGCCCAGGCAAACATACAAGACCCTACCTAAAAAACAAAACAAAACGAGAAACAAAACAAAAACCACTAAAACAAAAAAGGGGACAGGGGTTGTAGTTTAAGTGGTAGAGCACCAGCCTAGCAAAAACAAGGCACTAAATTCAAACTCCAATACCACCTTAAAGAAAAAAAAAAATCAGTCCTGTAATCCCAGTTACTTTGGAGGCTGAGACTGGGAGGATCTCAGTTTGAGGCCAGCCCAGGCAAATAGTTCTGAGACCCCATCCTCCAAATAACCAGAATAAAATGGACTAAAGGTGTGACTGAAGTGACAGCAAGTCTTCTTTGCAGATTGAAGCCATGACCCCCAGTCCTCTCTTTGCACTGGGAACAGGAAAGATGCCTTGGGATATCTCATGAATTGACTGGACCCCACCTGCCAAAGGACCTGAGGCTCTTTGGGGGTTTCTGTGTGTTTTTCTCTCATATTGCCACACTGATTTTACACTGGAGGTTCTTCTGGTTCTTGATGGGCTTTCATTAAGAATTAAGCTGAGGGAGTGAGGCTCAGTAAGCAGGGCGTGTTTCTCATTTAGTTCCCTAACCCTGTTCCTTTGGCAGCCTAGTCCCCAAACAACTGACTGTCTGAGTTTTGTGCAAGGATGCACATGTGGACCAGTAGATGTTCTGTCACTTTTCTTAGCAATGTCTGGGGCTTTCTCACATGTGCCCTTCCTAGTCCCCATGCTCCCATGTCTGGCAGGTGCATAAGTTACTGTGAATGGAAATCTTATTCTCCAGTGTGTCCTCATTCTCTATGCAGCCCTCAGTGGAGCTGTTTGGTATTTTAATCTGCAGCCTGCCACTTTACTGATACCGTATTTCAGTACTTCTCAGTTGATAGCGCTGGCTGATTGTCACATTTGTTCTTCCTTTAGTTGTTTACTATGTTTCTATTTCTTGTCTTACTACAACGGTGAGAGCTTCCACAATAAATGCTAAGTAACAGTGTGGTAAGCATTTTTCTCTGTATTCTTCCTGGTTATATAGTAAGATTTTTCAAATACTAAATTATTGAAAATGATGTTGAATTCTCTTTACCATGTTATGTAAGTATTCTTTTATTTCTAGTTCCCAAACAACTTCTAGGAATTTAAGTCATGTATAAATCAAAGAGTAACTTTAACCCTCAGCCATAGCTTTTATCAGAGTAGTAGATTCATTTTATTTGGTTTTTATTTAGTATGTTATAGGTAAGAATTCTTTGATAAAAAAAGAAAAAAAGCACAAAACAAGGACAAACTACTTCAGGCACAGAGCTATAGGGCAGGGTAAATAATTTGTAGTGAAGCACTTCAGGAGAATGTTGTTAAAATACCAAATTTAGGTATCTTCTAATAGTTCACAAGGACCATCCTATAACATATAAGCATGCATATTTTGCTCTTAAGAAGCCTCTAGAGAGGTGTTATAAAGGCAGTTAGGAAAAACCTGGAAGGTTGTATAACATTCAAAATGCCAAAATAAGTCACTTAAAAGCATCAAAAGCTTAACTCTGAGGACATCACACACATTAGAAGATGAAGATAAAGTTGTATGAGCAGCTTTTAAAGGCAGAATCTTAAACACTGTAAATGTGAATTCAGCATTCTGCTATGACACATGTATACCTTACACACTCGTGCTCATGTACAACCAGAATATTTTTGCTTGGCTGTTTGTATGTGGTCTACTCAAAGGAAGCACACTTGTGAGTAGTACCTGTTTTGTCTGTCAGTAAGTACACCAGGCGCCCCAGTTCCTCTGGTATAGTGCTGGTCCGAACAACTGTACCAGGAATATTCTCATCTTTCATAATCATCCATCCATATGCTGCCTTGCCCATGTCCAAGTTCACACGCAGACTGCCAAGTAAAACCATCACAGTTAATGCTTCCAGACCCAAACAATACATTTGTACTACTGTTGCATGTAAACATATGTATTTATCTACACTTTTAAGAAAATAAGTAATAATACTGGATTTCAGACTTTAAGATAAATTAATGCTTTTATACCCTGGATAATGTTTTCAGGTGACAGTAATATGGGTGACTCCTTTCTTCCATATGTGTTACAGTAATAGATGGAGAGAAAGAAGCAGGCAGTTGTACGTGCCCCATTAGGGCACAAAGTACTGTGGGCTCAAAGGAAAGAGTGATGTTTAAGGAAATCAAGCAAAGATTACTACAACTGAATATGGGAAAGAGGTGTGAAGGTTTATCCATTCGTTTTATAGCTATTAGTTCAATGTCTCACATTCCAGGTGTTAAATTAGAAAACAGGAACAAATGAGATGATAGAATCAATACAGAGGCATCTGTGCCTATGCTCTCCATGATTTGAATATTCATGTTTTAATGATGCATTGTAAGACTGTGATTTAAACACACAATGGGTCATCCTGCCTGGGGCAGTTTTGCTATAGTCTCATCTGAACGTATGGCACTGGCATAGGTGGTTTCTAGGGACCTTCCAGGACTAACTAAAAAGCAGCGACATAAGAACACACACCAAAACCCACCCTCTCTAGGGAGTGGGCACAACACAGTTCTTCCTGTATGTCAGCTCACTCTAATTTAATTCTATCAAAAAGCAGCTGACAGGATGTCCTAGACCATGGAGAGAAACTGCTCATAGTTAACCACTGTGACGTATCAATATGGCTCCACCTATTAATAAACACACTCTTGAGAGACAATCTTTAGGAGTCTAATCAGTGAAGAAAGTCTGTACCTGAGTTAAAGAGCTTTAAATAATTGATTTACCTGCCTATAAAGTTCGTATCTTAAAAGTTGCACAGACTACACTAGTTGGAAAGAAAATCTGCAATTGATGATTACTCACACTTTTCAAATCAGTAACTCTTCATTGTTCAGCTAATTTCAATCCTGGTCGAAGAGTGAAACAAACTAATGGAAGGTAAAAACCACTAAGTGAAGGTGACTCAAGATGATGCTCCAGGCAGAACCAGTGGCCCCTAGCCTCTTTAGGCAGCACTGGCCCAGCACCATGTTGGCCTGCAGCCCAGAGCCAATGCATGTGCATGCTATCTACAGTTTTGTGCCTTGGTACTCCCATCACACCTGGGCCACACGAAATCTCTCTTTGCTGTTTTAGTGAAGAGTGGAAGAATTTCCACATGTCAAGTGTCAAGCCCCTCCTCCTATACTTAGGAAAGTTCAAGAAGGAAGAGGGACATCCCTGCCAATGGTTACAAATTCACAATACTGCTTGGTTTGAGTTTAGGATGATGAGAAGGTCTGAAGGAAAAGCAAAACACATGCTTACATGAATCCTGCTTTGATTTGAGCTTTGGAGAAAGATTCTCTGTGAATTAGAAAATAAAGTGAAGGTTGTGGGCTACTTGGATGAAACAAATACAGGGACAGAGGTAGGTGAGCTGACCAGTGAGTGAGCCCAGAGCAGGGGAGGGTGTAGTGGGAGAACATGACACCTTTCAAACTTTTCATAGCTCTGCCCCTCTGGCTCAGAGATTCGTACTTTGGAAAAACATGATTTTTTTTTTCCAATGTGCTGTTTTCGTTTAGATTCTAATCAAACTGTTTTGGAATGTGTCAGCCTATGTTATTACAGTGCAAATGGATTCCTGTCTAGGAGGAGTTTGTGAAGAGCTTACAGTCTACCATGGGGCTCAGGGTGGTGGGAATTGAAGAAACACCTTTAAGGTTCCTCTCCTGGGTGCTGATCTATTCAAACCATGAGCAATTTGTGATTTAATGAACAATTTCTCTTGTTCAAGAATTGCAGGAATATATTACTTCAAAGACTATTGTACTGTAAACAATTACCATGGGGGTATTTTAGGTGGTCACAAATACTCCTCAAATTGTGTTCCAAGCAGGAGCTAGGAGTGCAAGAGACAGGAGAGAGCATTACTAGGGAGAAAATGAGTAGAAGAGCTGCAGAGTCCAAGTTTACCACAAAACCACCTTTCCTCAACTAATTAATCCTACACAGGGAGTAGCAGCCTCACAAGCACTGGGATTTGTACTGTGTATTTTGATCAGATGTTAAAGGAGTAAATTTCTTCTTAACGTTAAAAGTCTCTAAGATGCTCAACTTTAAACACTAAGCTGGACAGAATAATTATTGGCACTGTCCTAAATGTATTTCTTAGTAATGTCCTAACTTTGAAGGATTTCAAAGCCTAGACCTCTCCCCAACTGTAAAGATTATAAAGTACCAATTGTGACATAACCTCTGACCCATTAAAACACGTACATCACGCCTGGTATTTGGGATGGATTATAGAAGTGGCTGACAGGTAACAGACACTAGATACACTTTAAGTTCATTCTATTGCTGATTTAACCACTGTGAAACTTATCAACAGATGCACTCCCAGTAAGTGGAGGTCATTATAACTTCAGATGGTTAACTGAACCAGAAAGCAAGTGTGCCTTTTACTGCTGTGTAGTAAGAAAAATTAACTGCCTTCAGTAAATAGTGTGCTCAGAGATGTTACCAACAAGAACACATATGAATCTAGTTTTTGCTACAGTAAGAAGACATGAGGCAAATTTTAGGAAGTCAGATCCCCTTAATGATAGCATCTTGTCTAAATAGTTTACTCCTACAGCTACCAAAAGGGTTGAGGAAGCAACTTGGATTTTGAATATTTGAAGTGCATTTTCCTAAAATTCCCAGTATGATCCCATTTAGGCCTCAGGATGCTCCCTGTTTGAGCTCTAATTCATTACAGTTAAACCTCAGCACTTTTCACTACCAGGTGAGCCCAGTTCCCACCTCTAGCCTAACAAATGCACTTGATTCTCCTTAGGGAATGAACCTACCTGAAAAAATTCACATACAGATTCTGATCTGAACAAAAATAAATAAACAGAAGCCATTTTCATCAGAGCTTATTTTAAGTGGTTTGTGGGTTTGTTTGTTTTCGGTGATATTTTCCTCACACTTGCTAGGCAGGCACTCCACTACTTGAGTCACACCTCAAGCAGTTTGGCTTTTGTTGTTTGTTTGCTTGCTTTAGTTATTTTTCGAGTAGGATCTCACATTTGTGCCTGGGGCCAGCCTCAGACCTTGTTCCTCCTGTGTATGGCCTCCTGCATAGGAGAGATCACAGGCATGATCAACTATGGTCAGCTTATTATTTACTGATATGGGGTTCTCATTGTTTTTTTTTTCACTGGTAAAGTCTATGGAAAAAGACAATCACATTTTACTTGCATAATTCAGCAAGTGTGAGTCTGAAGACTTAGCATGGTCCTATAGCCAAGTAAGGCCTGTCTGGCAGAGAATGAAATGGACCAGGAAAAAGCACAGTTCACAGAAGGAAGAGCCCCAAAGGACACTGTTAGCCCCTATTGCAGCACATACAAAGCAAGCTGCTGGACTTCCTTCTGTATTTGGCACACTGATGACCTACCCAATAGCATGCACTCAAAATACACTGCATGCACAGATAAAATTCACATGAACCCCTTGTACTGTAAATGAATCCCAAATGAAAAAAACAGCTTAGCACTCACAACAAGTTGTAAGAGTAAGACAGCACGCTCTGCTCTCGGGCCCCAGTGACGCAGCCATATGTAACCAGAGTACATTAGTAAAGGAGGTAAAGTGACTGGCACAGATGTAACCAGAGCACATTAGTAAAGAGGGTGAATGACTGGTGCAGCAGCCAGACCTGGACTTCACTGGGGCCTTGCCACCTCTACTTACACTCTGTTAGTGTTTCTATCCACAGAGATGCATGGAGCTAAAACGTCCACAACTGGGAGGCAATGGTCTCACATGACTCTTTGATAGTTGGAAACCATTGACTTGTTCTGTCATTACAATTCTCTAATTTCAAGAGTGTTCCAGGAAGTAACTACACAGCACATAACCTTTTGAGATTGGGTATTTACACTTGGCATGATGTCTCCTATGGTTTGAATGTTTGCATCTCCTCAAAATTTCATATTCAAATTTAGCCCCAAGGCAACAATATTAAGAGGTGGGGCCTTTCGGAGGTGAGTAGGCTGTAAGGGCAGAGCCCCCATGAATGGATCACTGCCTTATCAAATGTCTAGAGAGGACTAGCTAGTGCCCTTTCGTCCTTCTGCCTTCTGCGTGTAAAGAGACACAGCGTTCATCCCTTTCAGAAGACACAGCAAGAGGTACCATCTTGGAGGCAGAGAGCAGTCCTCACCAGACATTGACTCTACCATCACCTTGATATTAGCTTCTCTAGTCCCTGTGAGGAATGATTCTCTCTTCTGCATAAACTATCCACTCTCACGCATTCTCTTATAGCAGCAGAAATAGATTGAGACAATACCTGAGTTGTTGCATGTTATCATTAGTCCATTCCTCTTTGCTGATGGACTGAATTCAGTGTAAAGATGTACCAAAGTTTGTTTTTCAGGAAACGCTTTTAAAAGCTTGCATTTTTCAAGTTTTCTTTGTTGCTAAAGGGCGTATTTGGTCTTTAAGTGAAAGCTTGCTGAGGAAGGGCAGAGCAGTACAAGTTAGTAAGGTCAACACTCAGCAGTAGAGGCAGAAGGATCAAGAGTTCGAGGCCAGCCTGGTTTACATAGCAAGTACCAGACCAGACGGGGCTATATAATGAGACCCTATCTCAAAAAAAAAAAAAAAAAAAAAAAAAAAAAAGGAGAGGAAAAGAAAGAGGCTCAATGCCCTTTCGGAGATAAAGCTCATCAGACTTGGTCCTCAGCACTTCAGTCTTAAGAAATGCTGCCAAAAAGATCATTGAGAAACCCTCACTCCGATTTGTACAATTTCCTTTATGAAACTCCAGGAAAGGTCTGTGATCCTGGGAATGCTCCCACTGAAAACAATAAAAGATACTGTATAAATTTTTTTTTTTAATTCTTAA